AAAGGGAAGCCATAATGCTCGTCTGTCAGCCTGGACAGGTGGCACTCCGCAGCGCTGGAGGTCGGGCAACCCTCCAAGGGCTGTGATGATAGGCCCCTCGCCTCCTTCCCTCCTGCGCCCCCGCCCCAGCCCAGCCCTGACAGCAGTGTTTGTGATCTCCGGCTCCGTACAAGGGCCTCTGACTTCCTCTGCTTGCTGGCTCAGCTCGGCGCCCTGCACCCTCCTCTGCCTCCATGAATGGGCTGACGGAACTCCTACCATTAGCCCTCAGTGTCACTGCATCACTCTATTGTCACCACACACGCACTGCACTCAACAGGGGGACAAAGGGCTGAATGAGCCCCAGACCCGCAGCCAACTCAGGCAGAGACAACTTAGGAAACTATCTCATTCTTCCTTTCTTCACAGGCCGTTTGGCTTATTTCCTTGCATACCAAATGAGGCCGGAGAGAGCGGAGGCAGGAGCGGGAGGCATCAGCTCCCAATGCGATTCCGCCCCCCCGCCCCCAGCTCCCCAGCAAGGCTCACAGGCTCCCAGCCCGGCCCGGGGCACGACACCGGGCCCCTGCGAGTGGCATGTTGTCGCCATTGAGACGTCTTCCCTGCACTGCGAATTGTTTTTTATAGCCCGCCGACAACCAGGACCATAAACTGCCAGGATAGCCCTAAGGAAGGGACTTTGGAAGCTTCTCTGGGCAATATTTAAGAGTTCTGATCTAACCTTGCCAGAAAAGACCAGTATAATGACCAGATGACAAGGGTCTGTATCTGTCCTGTTCAATAGCTTCCAGTAACTTCACTTACGGCCTGCGAGCCTCAATTTCACCTTTCGGTTAGTGAATTTGTGGAGCTGTACCTTGTGGAATGGACTGACCTGCTCGAAGGTAAAGTCAGGTCAAACTCAGGATCCTGACATCTAACTAATGTCTAAAAAAGACACAGCTTTCCAAAGGACACAGGGAGGCCAGCAAATCAGAAACACACTGGAAACCCATCTGCCTGCGCTTTGTCCTTCGCTCCTTCCTCCCTCCGTCCCTCCCTCTCTTCCGCGTCACCCCGACGCCTCTGCCAGGGGCTCTGCAGAAAGAGCTGAGTAAAAGCTGGGGCTTATTCAAGAGGTTCTATAGACAAGGAACAGTGAGATAAACGCTGGCACCCAGCCCGAGCGGAGTGCAGAGGGGACGGAAGAGGACCCAGTCCGCCTGAGGAAGCAGGACAAGGGTCACCGGGGACCCAGGACGCACCTCCCAACCCACCCTGGGCACCGGAAGCCCCGTAGAAGTTTCCCCACAGCCAGAACTGTCCCTGTGGCGTGTCTGTTTTTAGCAACTCTTTACGGCTGGAAGGAAAAAGTACTTAAAATATACCACCCTCTGAGACTTTTATTCCCTGTAAAACTGTCAGGCTCCTCACTCAGCTTTCTCTTTGGAATGAAGCGTTCCAGTTTATTTTGGCAACCAGACGAGCAACAAAGACCGACTTTCTCAGAGCCGCACGGGCCCCTCCTATCAGAGCTATCTGTGCCGCCAAAGAGCCAGAGAAACTCATCTGGCGTCTCACACGAATCCAGGGGACTCTCTTTCAACAGCCTGATCCCTGGCAGTCCGTGGCCTACCACCCAGAGCGCTAGGGACACTGTAAGTTTGAAGAGATCATAAATAACAAGGTGCCAGCGTAGAAGGGCAGGGGCTCCAGGATAAACTGCCAGCAATTCCTACTTGTCGGTGCAGGAGGGCCAGGGGGCAAAGTGTGGCCCGGTGCACGTGTGCATGTGACTTCTCCAAGGGAGAGCTCACGCAAACTTATGGGCGTTTCATAGCGTGCCCTGAGGACGTTTTATATACATCACACGTGCACGTGCACATATGTATGTACACATACGTCTACAAATGTGTGTATGTGTATACACACACATATACATTTTATCATGGTAAAATGTACATAACACCAATTTAGCATTTTTAAATGTACAGTGGCATTAAGTTCATTCCCACTAGTGTGTAGCCACAAGAACTCTCCATCTCCAGAATTTATGCATCATGCCAAACTGAACTCCGCAGACCTTAAACACTAACTCCCCATCCTCCCCTCCCCTTGAGCCCTGAGTAATCTTTACTCTACTTTCAGTCTCTATGCATCTGACTATCCTAGGTTCCTTGGCTAAGTACAATCATACGGTATTTGTCTTTTCATGACTGGCTAATTTTCCTTAGCACAATGCCCCATGGCTGATCCATGTTATAGCATGTATCAGAATTTCATTTCTTTTTAAGGCTGAGTAATACTCCGTTGCATGTACACAGGTTTTGTTTCTCCATTCTGATGATTCAGTGCACATTTTTCTAATGCCAGGTTTACTCTGCTGAGAGGCCTGTGTTTCACATTAGGCCTATGAGCTCCTTCTTTCCAGTTGATTTCCTGCTGCATTTACAGCTCCCAGCACATTACTTAGCATTCATCCATTCACTTGCAGTCTTCATCTGCTAGAGTTTTGCATGCTCTGTTCTTGGTTCTCCACACAACTGCTAAGTTCCTTGAATGCAGGAACCTCGCCCTCCCTTATCCATGCGCCGCCCCCCACCCAACGTCCCGCATGGGGCCTGAGGAGCCACAGCCTGCTCACCCCCACACCTCACATCGGGGCAGTCCGCAACAACCGAGGCTTCAGTAAACACTTCCAGAAATGAATGGAGGGAGAGTGCTTGAAATATGCCGCTTCTTGACTCGTGAAATGGTAAACGGGGCTCGGGAAGCAAAACTCACCTCTGTCCAAATGCTAACGCATTCCAAATTCTAGTCCTTTCACTCTCCTGCACTCTGAGCTTCGGCTCTTTAGAGAAGACAAGCCGTCGGATGGGAGGAGACCGAGTACTTGTGGAATTATGTGCGCACAGGGCGGCTCCAGCCTTTCCCCACGAACACTCCAAGCGCTCGCAGGGAGAGGGCGAGCAAGCCCCTGGGGTACTAGAAGTAAGCATGGAACTTACCGAGGTCTCAAATTTTTACTTGAAAATGTGGTATGAATTTTACACTCTACTCTGTTCACACTTGGTTTTTAATGTTAAGATGTTTCACTAGCCCCACTGGTGTGAAGGAGGCATATATATGCATTCCCCATGAAGGAACAGGGTACCGACTCAACAGCTGGGCTGTGCAGGAGGACACAGCCCAGCGGCTTTGTAGCCCTCTAGCCCCGTCCGACAGCTGACTTGAACGCACTGGCTACGTGGTATCTGAAGGGCACGCAGTGTCTCCAGTACGAAATGACAGGCTGGTTTGCAGTCTGAAAAGCAAGGCACAGTGCAAGAGCCTCAGTGGCAATCCCCAGTGACTTCTGTCCATGTGAAACCAGTAAGGGGGACAAAGAGATGTGGGAGAAGGCTGGATGCCGGGCGGGGTGGTCAGCCCATCAGAGCAGGTCTATATATATCTGAAAGAGGTTACCATGCCTCGGGGGTCAACCCCCTGTCCCTGACATTTCTGTCTCCAGGGATGAGGAAGGGCTTGTTCTAAACTGGCTGGGAGTCCTACTTGTAAGGCAGCCTTAATAGGAGACACTGAGAAAAGGAAGGAAGCGTACCATTTCTATAAATATGAAGTTCTGCCCACGATTTTTCTCTGGAGAATTAGAAAAGCATTCTCCATGCTGCAGTGGAGGGGTCTTTTCAATCTGCATTTTGGAGCCCTTGTGTAAAAAGCATATGTTTTGGAGCCAGCATTTTAAGACCACATCTAAGAACTGTTTCAGAGGAGGAGCCAGGACTTGTTCTGTTCGGCCCTTCAACTCCCCCTGTGCCACCTCTCCGAGCTGGCCATGAACGCCAGGGCGGAACACAGGCGGGCAGGGGAGAAGGCCGCGAGCAGCAGCTGTAGGCTCTCTGAGGTTTAACCTTCTGCTCAGGCATCCCATGTGAGGCCTCCGCCGCAGGCCTGCGAGTCACATGATCCCGCAACTCAATAAATTCCCACACAGGGCACTCTGAATCCCCCTGGACCATCCGGAGGGTGTCATGGTGAAGTTCCTCGCATTCCTGAGCCTTTCCATGGTGATGCACGACGGCCTCAGAGCCAACGCTCCTCTAGAGCTGCCTTTAAACCAGAAGCTTTTCTCAAGCCCAAAGACCTCGGGCGCTGCAGCAAGGGTGCAGTGTGAAGTGTCCAGGCTGGAGTCGGAGCTTGGAGGTGCTAGCCCCAGCTCTGCCACTGCCCCTCACCAGGCTGGAGGGGCAGCCCCGTGTGCCTCCTGTGGGAAATACAGCCTCTGCTTCCCTGACCTCGCAGAACCATCTGGCTCAGACACCCCAGGACTGCAGTGTGCCACCAGTTGAAATCAAGGTCTCAGAGCCTCAAATTCTGGCAGCCAGAAATAATAGCCTGTGGGCCATCCACCGCATGTATAGAATGGGAAAAATCTATAGCTACTAAGTTTCTTGAGTTTGTATGGTAATTTATCTTTTAAAAGTGCTTTTCGACCCATCGCTACATTGAACAAAGTGACAAGGCACAGGAGTGATGGAAAGGTTTTGCCAGGGCTGGACACCATTCTCACTGTGAGCGCCTTGTGTCTCCGTGCCCTCCACTGCAGCTGCCTCCTAGCTGTAGCTGTCCCTTCTCCTTTCTGTGCCTGACAGCCTCGGTGTGTCTGAGCAGACACGCGAGCTACATGTGGAGCACAGCAGCCCCACAACGTGTACAAATATGGAAATGAAGCAACAATTCAGACCCACTGGGAAGCCCACGATGCAGAGGAAAATTAGTAAACAGGCCTCCTGCCCTCCCTGGGCCTGCTTGCTGAGTTCTTTTCTGTACTTTATGGTGCACAGGCTTTCAAAGCCTTAAGAGAAGGCATCACCTGCTGAATTTTGTGCAACCATGGATGTTGACCTTCGAAAAGAGAAACCAAAAAAATGCCTCCAACACATCATGATTAAATCAGTTTTCTCTTTCCCTGAGCTAAGAAGAGACATCTGGTCTGAACCAAGAAGGTGGTCGCCACCTACCACATCCGTGTTGGTGATCTTGGCCAGCAGCTCAGTCAGGGCATCGCAAGTGAGCGAGCTCACTTCCTCATCCTGCTGGAGCCCACAGATGGCTGCCCCCACACTTCCAGTTGCGATCATGGATGGCGGGTACATGGCAAACTTGAAGTCTGCAAGGAGGAAGAGGCAGAAGGTCAGGGCACAGGGAGAATGTGGATGCAGGAGCCCCCCAGCCTGCAGATACTCAGAAATAGGATGGTGGAGAGTCAGCTGTACTCGGACCCCTTCCACTATAGGCACGTTCTCCCTGAAGTCCTTCCTTCAGACAAGAAGCTTTTTACTTATTTGCCATCACCGTGGCTGTTCCAGATTTACAAGTGAGGAGACTGAGCAAGGAAGGAAGAGAGGTTATCTGAGTGCTCAGAATGAATTCACAGAGGACAAAGGCTCCAACTCCCTAAGCTCCACAATCCAGCGAGGGGTTAAACATGTGCAAGGTGCTATTCTGAGCACCAGCTGGGGCAGCAGTGTGAGCAAGACATGGTCTCCTCTGGAGGTGATGGTGAGAACAGAGCAGGGGAGGCCCGAGACGAGCACAGATGAGATACCCCATGTGCTGTGCAGGTGAAATGAACCAAGGGCTCCAAATGTTGGAAGGAGAAAAAGGTAAAGGAAGTGGGGGAATCAGGCAAAAATTTTAGGAAGATAATCCACATGGGATCTTGCCATATTCTCTGGTTAAGTATCAAGGACTAACATGGCCCCAAACAAAGATTTGATTAAAAAAAGGAAACGAAGTGAGAGAAGCAGCAATGCAGGGAATGAGTGAGTGGGGACCGAGTTCCCCCAATTACTTCTGGCCCAACGGCAAGGATCAGGCGGAGGACAGGGCTTTAGTCAAGCGCCGAAGGTGACCACAGTGTCCTTATCAGATGCATAACTTGGTCTGGACTTTATGACTCATGGGCCTGATGGCACCATTTTCTTGCTAGGAAAAAAAGTGGTTTGCTACACAGAAGAGCAAAATAAGGATAAATTTGAGGGTCCTAACCCCCTCCACTTCCAATTCTCTGAGGGCAAATACAGAGGATGCTCCTGTGAACTAGAAGGCTCAGCCTGGGAGACCAAACACCTCGTTTTCCTCCGAGCTCTCCCCAAGGGGACTGAGTGACCACGCCCCAGTGACTGCTCAGTCCATGCCGGAGACATGAGGATAGCCACACCTTCCACCTGTTACTGCCTCTAACGGCTACCGATTACCAATACGTACAGTGCCTTATACGTTCCATACTGTTTAATTCACATTTCAATCATACAAGGTGCACCCAAATATCCCCCTAATGTTGTGAATGAGAAATCTGAGACTTCTGAGAGTTTAAGGTGCCCCTGCCTTGTGTTGATAAGTTAGAGAGGTTACAGTTTTATCAGTCATCCTAGGGACAAGACAGTCCTGGAATGGAGCAAATCTTGCCGCGTGCACTACCTCTTGTCTCGGCATGACTCCAGGGAATTTACTGAATGGAGAAGTGGAAGGTGTGTGTAGGGGCCGGGAAAAATATTAGATTGATTCTACGAAATAAAAGCCCTCCCCACAGTATTTCCCCTTCTTCCTGTATGAGGCTCTACCATGGAAACATTTTCCACGGCAGCACAAGTGGTGAGCCCATCGCCCCCAGCATCACATCAGCAGCGATCGACATGGGTGGCTGAGTGGTGGGCACGTCCCCTCCCCTCCCATCTCGGCTGAATCCCATGAACTTGGAGCAGGCCGGGCCGTCTGCCTGTCTCCTTGGCTTGCTTTCCTTCGCCCCTTCACCAGCTCCTCCTCTTGAGGGCCGTATGTTACAGGGCTGTGCCCCAGCCTGCTGGGCACCAGCTCCTCCTCTGCCTTCTCTGTCCCCTGGACGGTGTGACAAAGCAACCTCCTGCCTCCTGCTCTGCTGTAGGTCTCTCCCACATGGGTCACAGGAGAGCGTTTCTCTGCCCAATAACCTCGTTAGCTCCCCCCTGTGACATTCACAACACAAGGAGGCAGGCAGCCCATGGCCCTGGGCCCACAAAGACCCTGGGTGGGAGCATCTGGCAGGGAAGGGGAAGGAAAGGATCCCGGCCCTCGCTTCCCTCTGCCACAGGCCTAGCCCAAGAAGCACCCCTCACACCGGCAGAGCTTTGTTGTTCCACTACTAGCAAAACCAACCTTATTTTTAGCATAGGAATTAACTCCTGGAAGCCAGTGGGCATGTCCAGAACAGGCATGAGAGCTGCACAGGGTGACACTACCTCCCTCTTTGCTTTACTAAGAAAATGCTCACTGTCCCCTCTGGGGGACACTGCCCTCTGGAACAGGGGAAGAGGGGAACACTGCGCAGGAACTAGTCTCTCTCTCAGCAGCTCAGAGTGGCACCAGCAGGGCAGAGTGCTCCCACGGCAAGACAAGTAGAGCTGCTGGAGGCCAGGCTGGCTGCAGCGCCGTATTTCTGCTCCGCTACAGCTGGAGACCAGCGTCTTCCTCTGCACCCCAGATAACTGAGGCAACACCAGCACGAGAGCTGGGTCTAGACTGTGGGGCTGTGGCCAAGTCACTTCCTCCCTACAAGCCCCTGGATTCCCACTTGTCTCTTACTAAAGGGTTGGGTTAGATCAGTGTTTTTTCAAACTTCCAGTTGCAACTCATTCAGGGGTCATGAAATTCATTTGTGGGTCATGACCGGCATTTTTTGTTGTTCTTATTTAATGGAATAGCGTAGGGCAGAAAGTATCAGAAGGCACTACATGTAGCAAAAGCAAATATTGTTCAGGGAAACTTTTGTATCAGTTTGATGTATTTGTACCCGTAGCCTGAGTTGTGTCATAAAACATATTTCTTCCTTCGTGGCTCAGGTCAAAGAGTTTATAGATAGTAGGCAGGATAAATTCCCAGGTGCCTTCCAACTCTGCTTAGCTCTTACTTGAGGGTCTGAAAGGGGAATGACTCCCATGGAAGAGAACAAGAGACAACAGAATATAGCACAAGCACCCTTCTCCACAGAGCAGCGCTACTTCTGCATGGCACCAGGCACTGCCCCAGGACCACCCTCAAGGACACACTCCTTCACCGGCAGGGGAACAGCAGAGAGAAAAACACAAATGAAATATCACTTCATTTTTGTAGTAGCTTCATCCTTGTACTAGCTCTAGTCAGCCAACCTGAACTCACTGGTGGAAAACTCCACCCAGCCTACGCAGCCATTCCTGACTTCCTGGCTATCCAACAGGATGGAGAAATGTTCACAATACACACTTGGAAGAAGGGAGCAGAAAATCAAATTGCATGCATGCATGCAGGCTATGATGAAGATTGTGACTGTCCATAAATATGTATATAAATACATATACACACATGCATATGGATGAACTAGAAGGATACAGAGAAAACGAAACCTATCCTGTTAGGTGGGAGAAACATGCATAAGCATGTAAAATTTTCTTTTCATGGTATTTTAATAAATAAAAACCAGGTAAGAATCTCTCAGAAGTTTCTAAGTAAAAAATGCCAACAAGCTGTACAAAAGGCACACTTAGGGGTGAGGGTCTATCCTCTTCACCCACCTGGACGGGTGAGATGTTTGTGACTTCTGACGTCCCTCCTGCTCCTGCAGCTGAGTGGGAAGTGATGCACTGATCAGAGACTGATTCCGATCAAGTCATCACAATGTGTTCCTCCCTGCTCCGAGCAGCATGGATGAGTCCCCGAAAACATAAAGCATTGTTCCTGCTTCAAGGAAAACACCAGTCTTCTTAAGGCCAGGGTACCAATTCATTAGACAGTAACACAACACAGCATGGTGCACTATAAATGGCCAGGTGCATACTGCATGGTAGCTTCTAAAGGAACTTCTCACAGAAAGGAGGCATCTAGCAGAGGGAGCCCGGAGATATCTCCTTGGAAGACTCTCCATTTGGACAACAGGGCCAAGGACTCTGAGTGGGAAGGTGAGTGCACGCAGGTTGGATGGCCTCCACTGGGTGCCAGCTCCTACCATGGACATGGGGGCCTGGGCCCACTCCAGGCGGCTGCATCTGGGCATCCGAGCAACGCAGGAGGAGCCACACACCTTGCCATGAGGGACAGACATTGGCCCAGGGCCTTGAGCTCTGGCTTACCTCCCACACCAAACTAGAACTCCAAAACAATGCAGTTTACTGCTCCAGAGTGTAAGCTCTGGAGTCAGCCTGGGATTGAACTCTGTCCAACCACCTACAAACTGTGTAAAGATGAGCAAGTTACCTAACTTCTCCCGAGTCTCCATTTTCTCACCTGCAAATGAGGAGAATAATTATACCTGCCTCACCGTGGTGCTCTGAGGATTAACTAAAACAACCCATGTAAAAGCACAGTGCCTGGTTCATGGTAAGTAATAAATGTCACTGTCACCCTCACCATTCTCACTACTGGAACTTCCTGCGGGATTGTGGATCCCTGGAATGCAGGCAGATGCACAGAGCAGGCCACGAATACTGGGGCCAGGAAAATTGAGAGCTCTGTACTTCCTGGGGATTCTTCTACTATCCAGTTGTGTATGTGTCCCATAAATGGCCCCATCAAAGCCTCCTGTTGCTTTGTCGGGAGTGGGAGAAAGGGAGGCCCCACAGAGAGATGGAAAAAAAACACACAAAAACACAGTGAATGAAAGACAGACGTTGGCAATTACATTCCTAGCACACCCCAAATTCATTAAGACGTGGTTCACCCAGAGGGGGGAACAATGCACACATGCGAGGAGCCGCTGGCGTCCCCCTCTGCCCTGGCCAGGTGGCGGAGGCCAGGGACACACCTGGGGGGAATCCCAGCTCTACGGACAAGCACCGCTCGCAGCCCTGGAGTGTTTGCATGCTTGTTCACGGTGGTGGTGGTGATAGTGAGACATTAATAAAAACGAACTTAAAATTTATCTGTTTCAAACATCTCCTTTTACAGGTGACTTGATGAAATCCTGGGAGATTAAGTGATTTGTCTAATGTCACTCACTGTGAGTGTTAGGCCTGGGGGAAGATGGAGACTTTCGGACTCTGGATCCAGAGCTCTTCATAACTTACCAGAAGTTGAACAGCTCCTCAAGGTCACCCCCCCACATGCCACAAAGAATGCAGGGTAGTCTTTTGTATCACATGGAAGAAGAGTCCCTCAGGAGTCAAAACGGTCCTAGTCCCAGCCAAGGCACCAGCAAGCTCCCAAGGATGCCACAGGAGCCCCTAGGGGTCCCACTGGGCTCCCGCTCCCCAATCTGGGTGCCCTGTATTCACCAACTTGGGATCAGCATTTCTTAGTGCCCAGTTAAGGTCAGCACTGATCATTTTGGCCTTAAGTACAGGAATGACTGCTGTGCTTTTCTCCACCACAAGGGGGGGAGAGAGAGAGACTGACTGGCTCCAGGCAGAGGGGGGGAAGCCCAGGTCAGGCTTTCCCCCTCCCCCTCAAAGGGGCCAGAACCCAGGCATCCACTGGCCAGCGAATGAATGACCTACACACCTCATCTGCCCCAAAGGAGGGTCAGCACACCCTGTGCTTGTGGGGCAGGCCTGCCATGACAAGCCAGCGCCAGTGCAACTCCACAGGCCTCGCGGAGGACACGGCAGCCTGCTACTCACGCATCTCCCAGTAGATGGGAAGTGAGATAGCCAGCGCCACACTGCCTGTCCCCACGGGCGCTGGCGGAAGCACCGAGGCTCCTGGTTCAACAAGCCACTTCCCCTCAGCCCATGACCTCTCAGCTGTGGAGGCAGCTCAGCGGCTCACAAGTGGAAAGATGAGTTTCAATTCTCCCTTCTCAGCACGCACCAGGGTGCAGCTCCCATTCTGGATCAAGGACCAGGTCACCTAACTTCTCTGGACCACACTGTCCCCCTAGAACTTTGGGGATGGAAAATAAAGAAGCACCTACAGGCAGGCCCGGGGCACCGGGAAAGCACGATGGGTCACTGTCAACTCTGGGCTCAGGCCTCAGGCTGGGGAGGCCTGGAGGGGGCTCCTTGTGTGGGGTACAAACAGCAATGCGCAGCATCTTAAAGTGGGCTCCCAGTGCAAAAAAGGGGGATGTGGGGTGCCTGGGGCGGGAAGGTAGGCGCCTCCTCGAGCCCCACGCCAAATTCAAATTCAGTGCCATTGGCTCTTCTGGACTAACTGGAATCGTCTATTGAACACAATATCACGTCTCAAGAATCTCCCAACACCAGAGTGCGATCATGAGTCATCTCAGAGGGTCTTCTTCCCTCATTTGCAGGCTGGGGGCTCTTGTCGGCAGAGCTCCAGCCAGAGGCACTAAGGCCGTCCTGCTTCCCCTGCATCAAATGTGCCAGGAGCTGCAGCTATGAAGATCCCCGCCACCTCTGCGTGTCGCCACTGCCCGGGACCTGCGGGACAGGGACACCAGGCAGCTTGAGGCCATCTCTCCCCAAGAAGCCATTCCAGGCTGAGCAGGGAAGGGCATAAGGGCCCCTCTCTGCCTTGCTGCCGTCTTACCACGGAGCCCTATAAAGGAAGACCGCTGCTCCACTACCCCTCCTGCGGCCCCTCTGCGCTCTCCCGCTCTCTCTCCTCCCCTTTCACACACACATACGCTCTCCACACACTCTGCAGAACGACTGCCAGCTCTTTCACAACCAGCTTTTCCCATCAACCAGCCAGCCACACAGCCAGAAGGCTGGCTACCCTGGACCCCCGCTCCCATCCCCCATGGGCCTCCAGACGCTGGCTGCAGGTGCTTCGTCAGCTTCAGGGCAGAACGTCCAGGACTGGTGGGAAGGAGGTGTGACATGTCAGGAGCAGAGCTCAGGCTGGAGGCTCTCCATGTCTCCTACCTTTGGTCCTCAGCTACCCAGCACCTGCTGCTTGCCAGACACGGTCCTGGGCACTTGCCTATTTATCAAACCCTGGCCACAGAGTGCGGAATCTCATCTCCCTAGAAGCCCTCAGTGTTCATGCTACCAGGCCGACTACTGAAAGCTCCATGAAGAGGAAGTCTCTATGACTCGGGCACTTGCAGAGATCCAAGTGCCCATCAGGGAGAAAGAAATGCCTTGCTAGGTGGCCCATCCTTCCCAGACCCAGGAAAATGTCTGAGAACCTCCCTCTGCTCTGAGTAGTCCATGCCTGAGGCTCAGGACTTGGCACATGGTTTTCATTTGGTCAGAGGTGTTTGTTCTCTTATCCTTCCCCAACCCCAGACCAAAGGTAGCTCAACGCCCCCAAAAGGCAGCCTTCATGACTGCTTCTGTCTCCCTCCGGACCTCTGTCCTCAGTCCCTGAATCCCAAGCTCCCTACTCTGGCCCCAAAGTTGGCAGCCAGCCCAAAGATCTAGGCTAGAAGGCCACCGATGGGGGATGGGATCCCCAGTTTTAGAGAATGGGCCTAGACAGAATCTGGGGATCTGCCCACACTTGGGTAATTCCACCCAGCACCCCAACCCCAATCAGAGATCAGAGAGGAGGAAGGGGGTGGATAGACCCTGAAAGATCTGTTGGTCAAGAGATGACGTCAAAGCAGAATTCTGGCTATCAACAGCTGGGCAATGGGGTAGTTCAGGGTCGGAGGCAGCTGTCCTAGGGCCAGAGAAGGCCTGTCTGCCCCTCACCCACAGTGAATTATGGCAAGAGAAGAAAGGGCTGAGCCTGGGAGACAAAATGACAGGTCAATGGGGGACTGACCTCTCAGGCCCAGGCCAGGTGGCAGGAGAAGGGAAGGAAGCCAAAGAACCACTACTGTCCAAGAGGCAGCAAGGGTCCACAGCAGCTCCCAAACCTGCCCCGCCCAGGGCGGCAGGAAGGGCAACTGCCTCTCCCACAAAGGCACACAGGCACATGTGCACGCCATGAGGCCCGACCTGGGTCCAGAAGGGCAGAACTAAAGAACACCAGCAAGTGGAAACCTGTCCTCTGGACTCCAGAGTAGAAGGCTCGGACCCCTACACTCAAGCCAGCAAGTGCAGAGTGCAGGGTCCTGCCAGAAACAGGGGAGGGCAGCCAGAGAAGGGAAGGCATCACATCCACCTTGGCTGGAACAGTTAAAACCAGGGTTAAAACAGGAGATGGTAGCATTTTCACAATTAGTACCATGGCATGTATGACCTGCACATCTCCTGGTTCACAAAACACTTCCACATGCATCATGTCTTTCTGATTTTAATTTTCCTACCACTCTGAAAAGGCTACAGGCTGCTGCATCAACAGGTGTGTTTTTCAGACGGGGAAGCTGGGGTTCAGAGAGGTTGAACAGCCTGTCCGAGGTCACCCAGTGAAAAGTAGCAAAGCCTGACCTTTTGACTGGGAACACAGAGCATGTACACTATATTGCATATTATATAATCATCTGTACAAACTCAGAGTAACATGTAACAAGGTATTGAAAAAAGTTAACTGCTGAGTCCCACCTATATAATTTAACCACTCTTGGCAATTTGGGATGAACCACCCCAAAAGGTCTGCCCAAATGGTCAGTTTTTTAACTAATGTTTCTGGTTATGAAAACACGAACTCCTGACACCTCTCCCCCAGGTGATTAAGTTTCCAGGGTCTGTACCATTGTCACTACCAAGAGGAGAAACAGGCCAGGGTTCAGTTTAGCAAGACAACACTGCCTTGAGTTTATTAGGAAAACTGGAGCAAATGGGCAAGTAGGAACTATGTATCAACTGTGGGAGCAACATGGTGGGCAGGAAGCTTTTAACATGGAAAAAGCCAGTTATACCTGCCATGTCAAGCACTGCAGCCAAAAGCAAAACATGGCCACGTGAAGTGAGGGCATCAGAACCCAGCACTGAGCAAGCAGACCCTTCCTGAAAGCCACTCCCCCGTCCAGCACTAAGTGCCCTGTGGTGAAAAAGGATTCCTTTGGTCTCCCTTACCACTTACCAGGGCAGGCGCACATTTATCTTGACGTTGTTCCTTTAACCTATATTTGCCCCTCCCATCCCCAAATTTCCGCTTGGGCTTATCTCCAAGCCACCCTTTTCCTCAAAAGATTAAAGATTTAAATGCAACCAGTGAGCAGTATATATAATCTTCAAAGAGCACTTTAGACATCATAAAGAATATTTTAACAGGCACTAATTTTTTTCCCCTTGCCACACCTGTCCTCATAAACCATTTATGAGTTTAGCAGTGAAAGAGATTATAGCAGCTTGGATAAAGTTAAAGAAAAAGCAACCTCGGAATGAAACTCCGGACTCTAGATGACTCAAGACCACCCCTCCGCTACACCTCCCAATTAACACGAACGTTTGCACCACCTTTTGCCTCCCCCAGGACAGCTCCCAAAGAGCTCCTGGTCCTCCCTCCCAGCCCAGCCTGGTCTTACCGGTGGCACACAGGGCGATGAAGGTGTGCGCGTGCTTGCGGATCAGAGATTGCTTCTCTCTCTGCTGGGGCAACTTGCGCAGGATGTGCTCGATGAAGTCATGAGGAGTGACAGCAGCCAGGTTCCACTTCAACTTCCCCAGCACCACCAGTTCCCACTCCTGGCAAAGGAGGCAAGGAAGGGAAGAGTATAAAACCCACAAGCCAACCTGGTGGCAGGCGCTGGGGGCTGGGATCCAGACCAGTTTTAATGATGCTCATTAGGACGTGGCTGCTAGATTGTAAGGCGGGCCCATTTGTCAACGTGCCCATAAAGCTTTGAAGTTGTTGATGGCTCTTCTTATGTTTCAAATGTTAGGCTCAACTGAAAATAATGAGAACCCAGGTAGCGGCTGCCAAGATTCTATTTTCTTCTATTTCTTTCCCCCTCCAGCTCCCCAAGCCCCCAAATCCTGACTTCCACGCAATATTGCTGCCTGCCCACCCAGAAAGTTGTACCTACAATAAGATACGGCCAAGGTCATTGTGGCCCTTTGGTAGTAATTTATTGTATATGTCTCTATCACTGGATTAATAGTCTTTTTAATCCTCATGGAAAAATGATGCATGCAGATAAAGCTCAAAATAAGGTTCCTTGGCCCAACTCCTTAGCAACCAATTAGCTTGCTTTTACTTGGTGCCAAAAAGTACCATTTTTCTCTTTGCTGTTAAAACTTTCCCCTTTGACACATCATGCAGAAATCTTTGGGATGTGACACTCAGCCCTTTCACCTAAATGTTTCACAGGCCTTTGTCATAATGACTAAAGGACCGGATGGTCATTAGCAACCCCATTTTGCAGATGGAGGTGATTTGGGGCAAGGTGAAGGTGTTTGTTCTTGGTCACAGAATCCCCCAGTCCAAGTCCTGGGAGGACACAACCCTGTCTCCTTTGGGACCAGCAGCATATCTGATAAAAAATCTTGTTTCTCTCCTTTATTGAGACACTTATGGGAAATTGTGCTCAAAGGGAAACAGTTCAAGAATAAAAATTTAAATTTATGTATGTGTAGTCAGGAAGAGAATATGCTTATCAATCAGTCATCTTCAGAAGAATGAGACACAGGGACCAGCTCACCAGTGCACTCCACTTTCCCATTCATCCTAAGAATCTGGAATCTCTTCCACGTGTAAGTCAAGGGCCAGATGCTACCAGAGCCCAGCCCTCAGGCTGCAGTGCTAACGGGCTATGTAGCCCTTCCCCTCCCAGGCCTCCGCTTTCTCTCAGCTTTCTCATTCATATAGCAGGAGGACACCTCCATATCCCAACTTCTGGGAGAAAGAGACAGGGAGTGGAGAAAAAAAAGCCAAGTTTATTTGGAGCAATATAAGTGAGCTAGTCCTGGAAAAAGTAGGGTGTCCTGAAGAACCCCTCAGTCTACCATCATGTTAAAAATAAATAAACCAAATGAAGATTAGTTTTCCGCTCTCCCATGAAAAAAAGAGATTGATCTACAATTCTAACAATTTTTTCTTTACAAGCTTTAAAATCTGCCTTGTCTTTTTAAAGAGATTGATCTCCAATTCTAACAATTTTTTCTTTACAAGCTTTAAAATCTGCCTTGTCTTTTTATGGAGAGACTAAGCCAGCATCTTCAAAGGTGCCTCTAAGTCCCAACCCTTCCTTCTCAAAGGGTATGGTGAGTCCAAGCCACTCTTCTTGCACCATTATTAAAGGAAGCAGATCTCCCAGAAGAAAGCACCTTTCTGGGCCTCTCCGACCAAACCAGAAGCAGCTAAAATCTGGCAGCAGTTCAAAGGTGAAGTCATTCAGTCCTCTGCATTCTCCGCGATGCCTCCCCCAACCGTGTGCATGTCTGCCACTAGATGGCAGCACAGCCCCAGAAAGGAAGGCTGCTCACAAAGAGCTCAGTTCAAGAAAGTGGTCTCAGCCCTGTGGACTTAGTAGTGCAGGCCCTGCCAGTGAGGAGGAGGAGGGGCGGGCAGAGGGGGCCCTTTTTGCAAACAGTGCAGAGAAAGGTGTGCAAATCACTGAAGGTGGGCCTCAGAGGCACTCTTCCATCCAGCACTACTGCAATATGGCCGTCTTATGTGTGGAGCTGCAGGGATAAGGAGTTAGACTGAGTGGGAAAAAAGTCCTCTGGCAGAAAACCAGAGTCAGGACAGGACCCTTGGGGTTGTGCAGAGGTCACACTCCCAACTGGAGCTAAGAACGCAGGCCTCAGACTCCTTCAATAAAAGGCCAACTTTTGACTTTGCTTAAAAGTCAATGAGCTGATATTTAGTGAACAGCTACTATGTGTAAGTATCTGGAGACTTCACAGATAGGTAAGACTACCTCTGAACGCCAGGGTCTTAGGAGACACACCATAACACATAACGTTCCTATCATGTGAACACATTCCTAGAGTGTTGAGAAGTCAGACTATTTTCTCAGAGTTCAGTGTTTGAAAATTTGGAATTTAATTAAAATATTGGCACTGTTCATTAAAATATTCCATGCTTCCCTATACACATGCATGGCACACACCATTGCAAATGAATCTCACCAACCCAAGTCTCCATGAGAATCTTATTCTTGCATGTAGCCTCAGTGCTTAGCAGGGTACCTGGTACATAGTAGGAACACAAGAAGCAAGTTATCTCCTATTAAAAGAGAAATCTCCAAGTAGGAAAGTTCTAGTGGCAAGGTAATTAATTGCAGATCCTCAGAATTTACTTTGGAGTGATGGGTAAAAAGGTATATTGTTGGCCGGGAGAAAGCAGGAAGGGCAGAAGGGAGGGAGCAAGGGGACAGTCATTACCAGCAGCTCCTGAGGCTTGATGGAGTTGTCGGTGTAAATGCACAACTTTTCCGCAGTCAGCGGGATGGTCTCTTTGAGCTTGGAGGCCAGGAACATGCAGACAGCACCCAGGAGTTGGAGATGGGACTTAGGAGTCGGCACCCCGGCCAGAAAGCGGTCCAGGTAATTCATGGCCAGAGGGAAGACCTCTTCTTCACACTTCTGTTCCTCACATACCTGCAACGGAGTGGGTAAAGGTTGGTAGGGGGAGAGAAAATAGTATCAGAAAAAATAGAAAAAGGATGAAAAAGCATGATTTACGGAAACAAAAAAATTTTTTGTGGGGAGGGGGAGGGGAGTATAACGTGAGATAAGAATAAAGACAAGGAGGCTGGGGTCAGTGGGAATCGCCCCTCCGTGTTCGGATATTCCCAGGGAGCCTAAAAAAGGGGGTGAATTAAAGATCCAAAACGGGAGGGGGGTGAAAGAAATGCGCAGTAGCCGCCGCAGCTCCACGACGCTCCCTTTGGCTCCTCGCTCCTTTGCGCACTCTAACTCACTCACTCTCTTTTTTGGATTTCGTCATCTTTTCAAAAAATCAATAAAAATATTCTGGAGGCTCCGGGGGTCCACTTCTTGGTCCCGTCCGGACCCCCAGATCCTGCTCTATCATTCCCGACAATTGGAAAAAATGTGCGGGGCGTCCCCGCGGCGGGGGCCGCGGCCGGGGGCGGGCGGGAGCGGCGGCGAGCGGGGGAGGGAGGAGGAGGAAGAGCGCCGCAGCCTCGGCAGCCGGAGCCGGAGCAGGGGGGACGCTTTCAAAAAATAATTAAAAATCGAGGAAATATCCTAGAAAAGCCCTTTTGGCGTGAAAACCCCAAAGAGGATTCGGGCTTCCCGAAACGGAGGCCTTGGGTGCCGGAAAGGTCTGTATCTCGACCCCTGGGGCTTTGGATCCCTGGGGAACTTGAGGGGTGAGAGCCGCGGCGGAGCGTCCGGCTGCGGCCCACAAGGGCAGAACGGGGGGACGCGCTGACGAGCTGGGGGACAGAAGGGAACAGGGAGCCCGGAAAGAGGCCCGCGGGCTCTGACCTCTCCTTTAGGGGTGCCCTGGTATCCCCCTACACACACCCCCTCCCCCTCCTACCCCACCCAAATCTCCGCACCGAGGAAGCTGGAAGGTCAAACTGTAAGTAACCTTCGTGAGGTGGGGGCTGGGGGAGAGGGCACGATGCGAAGTGGGGTGGCCGGGATACTGGGGTGCGAGGGCGAGAGGGCGACGTTTCCCAGCCTTTCCAGCCGGAGTTTGCAAAGCAACATGGCGAAAGCACGGCAGGTCCAGGGCTGTGCATACGTGGGCACACGGCTCGCTCGGCAGAGCCTCGGGGCGAGAGTAAAGAAGTGGCTCTTTTGGGCTCCCCTAAAACACACGTTTCTTCATTGTGACTTCCGGGGCTCCTGAATTCCCCGTTTCTCTCCTTCTCCCTCCCCTTCCCCCCTGAAGTGCCAACGCGGAGTCGCGACCACATGTGGGGACCTGAGGCTAGGACAAATGTGCTCTGGCCTTTTGGGGGGCTGATTTTCTACAGTGAGTCCCAATTTCACGCTCCTGCCCCCTTCGCCTCACCGAAAGCGGCCGCTGCTTCGCAGAAGACAGGTCGGGATGGGGGTGGGAAGAAGAGGAAGCCACATGCAGGCACTCGCGCGCGGGATGCCCCCACCCCGCCCCAAGACAGCCTCGCTTCGCCCAGATTTTCCTCTCTCCCCTCCGCACTCCCCCAATTAATCCCGCAAGGAACAGCAATGAGGCCGCGCAGCTCGCGGGGCGCGGGGTAACCTCGCGCACAGGCGCCGGGAGGCCGGCACCAGGGTTGCCCTCTCCGGGCTTAGGGTCCCTGCGTGGGGGGCCGAGAATGGGGGGGCCTTGGCTCCTAGTGAGCGTCGCCGGCAGACCTACCTCCAGCATCCAGGTGGCCACCATCCTGCGCATGTAGGGCTGGATGTCCTTCTGCACGCACTTGAAGTAGGAGCACTGCGGGAGGTAGCGCTCCTCGATGGTGAGCAAATTCTGCAGAACGCGGTCGTCCTGCAGCAGGTTTTGGTCCCGCACGGCCCTGCGGACCGGGTCCACCTCGCAGCACAGAAGCTCCATGGCCAGCTGGTGACCACTCGGTCCTCTGCTTTCTCCGGACTGAAAAAGTTTTGTTTTTTTTTTTGAGGGGGAGGGGAGAGGGTTCCCCTTACCTCCTTCTTTTGGCTAAATAAGGGGTTTTCAGGGAATAGGTGCGGGCAGAAAGAGCAGCCGGAGGAGAAGAGAGGAAAGGGTCGGGCGGTGGGCGAGCAGAGCCGCGGGGGCTGCCTCGCTCGCACCAGTCCTCCCCTTCAAACTTGTCTCGCTCCCCGAGCTCGCTCTTCTCTGCTCTGAGGCAGTGACGCAAGCTGGCTGGGCAGTTAGCTCTCCTCCCTCTCGTCGCGCTCCCCTCTCTGGTTCCTCCTCCCCTTCCCTCCCCTCCCGGCCTCCCCTCCTCCTTTCAATCTCTCCCTCCCTCCCTCCTTTCCCCTCTTGTTATTAAGGAGAGCAGCAGCTGGCCCGACCTTAACTTCAAACGCGGCCCCCGCCCCCCAGCCCTCTCCCTCCACCCAGCCCCGCATGCCAGGGGCCCCGGATAGGGGAACCCACAAAAACCCACCGATTCCTATTTATTCCCTTTAATTTCGCATGTTCTGTAGGTGTATAGTGCCAAAATACGACCTTCGAAATTTGGCTTCTTCAAAACCTCCTGCCCATGTACCCAAGATCCAGGAATGGAGGGTAGATTACTTGAAGATGGGGTGAGGTCAGACAATTTAGAAACAGATCCCTTAAGTGAAAAATAAGGGGATGGTTTAAGAAAATAGCAACCTCGCATACCTAGAGATAAAGGTTATGTCCCTGAAGTTTATGTGCCTGATAACTTCCAAGCCGTGTCAAAGCCCGATTAAAGGGATCCGGACTGCGTCCCGGCTGTGCCGTGCAGATGTGTGTGGAGAGGAAGAGGAACGGGTGGGTGTTAGGAGGGGGGGCCGCTGCCTCTCCGATTGATAGAACGTGACCCTCGAGCAGAAACCATCGTGTTCTTGGGGGCGCTACGAGGGCCAGTGGGCGACGCGGTGCAGCGCCCAGGGCTGCCGCAGGCCGGGGAGTAGGGCTGCCAGCGGTTCCTCCGCGGCCGGCGGCCACGCAGGAAAAACCCGCTTCCTTGTCCCCGCATCTGCTGACAAGCCGCCCGAGGTGTCTGCGCCGAGCGTGGCCACACTGATACCGCTTTCTAGGAAATGGCCCGGGAGGGGGGAGGGGGCGAGAGAGGGGTTAGGTTTGGCCTCCCCACGTTTCCCCTGCAAACGCCACCACCCCTTCCTTTCTTCGGAGGCCAAGGCTTCCACCCTGCGTCCTTCGCCCGCATCCTCGCCCACCCCTCCGGGTTCGCGCTGCACTGGCCAGCGAGGGCTTTCTCCCCGGGAGCCGGACCGCGGTGGAGACGCCGCCAGCAGTCGGGCGGACATGTGCTCTACGCATCCTCGAGTCAAGGCTGTCTTAACAGGGGATAGATATGATGGCGTTTCCTCACCTCCTTCCTCCCGCCACCCCTCACCCCGCCCGTGGATTTCACTCGGAGAGCAGGGCGAGCGCCCGGCGCCCGGCCGCGCTGGCACGTGCAGTGAGCATGGCGTGGCTCGGGTAGTCTGGGCACACCGCGGCCGACCAAGTTCCTCCTTCACCGAGAAAGGGGCCCGAACAGGGGCGAGGAGACAAGCGGGGCGGGGGGGGCTGGGTGAGCTGTACGCTAGGTTCCCTGCAAGGCGGAGGAGGGGAGCGAATAACCAGAGGTGCAAGCGATTAACTCGGGCCGGGGAGCCAGCCCTTTAAACGAGGGTGGGGCGGAAGGGGTGGGTGGGGAGGAGGGGATATCGCTTTAAAAGGGTGAGTAAGAGTTTGGGGCGCCGTCTCCCCTCCCTCTATTTGCATAGCCAATAGCTCTGGGGCTCCTGCTACTGCGCGCTGATTGTTACCGGGCAGATTACTTTTTTTTCTTTTTTTTTCTTCTTCTTCTTCTTTTTTTTTTTTTAGTAGGACGCGTTCCCCGCTACATCAAAAGGAAGCCAAGGGAGGGCGGAGAGAGAGCCGGCACCCGGGCGGGCAAGGCCTGGGCGCCCCCGGCCTTATCAATAGCTGCAGGAATTAGTATCCAATCTGGTGTATGTAAAGAAAGGGGAGGGAAGGGGCGGGCGCGGAAAATGTCTAATTGCTGTGGAAGCCATTAGCTCCGGGAGGTAAAAAAGCTCGCTGGAAAACCCAAGTTGCAAACTCAAAATGAAACAGCCCCGCGCAGCGGATGACACCGGGCTGAGGACCACGCTCACCGGAACACAGCTGGTGTCCCTAACAATCACCTATTGATTTTAGGCAAGTTGGACTTCCCGACTTAAGCTTTTGAGTCACTCCGGATAAATACATGAACTTACATTTTAAGACCCCATAAGGGAATCACTTAACCTTCACCTACGCCACCTTTGAGCGGGTCAAAGAAAGGTGCCGGGGAGAAAGGAGGGAGGTGAGAGAGGTATTTTCAAGTATGACTCCAACCGACAGGCAAGGACAGAGCCGGCGAGGGCTCCCAGCCTTGACACCCTGATAGCTAACCCACCGCGGTCCTCGCCCGCCCCCCGGGGCAAGCATCCCGAGCTCCGGGCCCCCTCCGGTCGGGGGAGGCGGGCGGTGGTCCCCGAGGCCTGGCCCACGCCGAGGAGAAAGCCCGGGTGGCGCGTCCTCACGTCCCTGAGTGAGCCGGGGCCCTCACGCCCCTTCCCGCTCCCCTCCCCCACCCGTCTTGCTTTACAGCGAAATTCCAGCGGGGAGGGGGCGGCCGGGGGAGTGCGTCGAGGTGGCAGGGGGAGGGGAGGGGAGGGGCGGAGAGGGTCGCGGGCGGAGACCGCCCCCCACCCCGCGGCCCTCTTCGCCCAGGGGACCCTCAAGTGCGGGCGCTTCCCGCGTGGCAAGCGCGCCTCTTGAAGTTCCCCTTCGCGTCCCCTTCCGACCGGGGACCGGTCCCGAGCGTGAACCGCGCGGCGCACCGCGGGCTCCTTCTCGGCTCCGGCACGTGGGAGGGCGCGAGCGGGCGCGGAGGTGGCAGGCGTGTCTCCCGAGGCTTGGGCTGGAAACTCAGTTTTCCCTTTCGGTCGCCACTCCAACCCTGTGTAAAGCCTTAATTTCTTACTAAAGAGCACTCGCGGGGAAAGGCACGTTGCCTTCTGGCCAAACGTGCGCGCTTTCTTTGAGTGTAGACTTGGGTTTAGAGAAAAAGCGCAAGCGCCTGTGCTCTGGCTTTGAAGTCCAAACTGGACACCGTGGAAAAAAACAAATGTCAGCTCTTCCTTATCCCTTTTTCACTCCTCAAGGAAAAAATATATCCTGTCCTTTGTAAGATCGGCGATAAACTTCAGTGAACGCAAGTTTTATTGGGCTTTTATTCCCTCTTGGGCCGGCTCCCCACCCCTACTCCTCGCGTTTTGGAGTTTCGGTTGGAAGGTGTACAATACCCTGTAGGTGTAGGGTGCAGCCGAGTGCTGGGCGTTCATGGGCACATTTCTGCAGCAACCTGCAACGCTAAGCACGCACACTCCCAAGCTCACCTGGCGGCTGCCGGCCAGCCAGGTGATCCTGCCGTCGGCCGCGCGGGTTCAAGTCCCGCCGCCTCCGCGCAGGGGCGCCCAGGCCGGGTGGCAGGGAAGGGGGCCGAGTTCGGGCTCAAGAATGGGGGGGCATCGCCTTCCCCCCAGCCCCCCCAGAGTAGAGCTGTGTTTGTGTTTCTCCACGGAGAGGTGGACGGTCAATCAAAACCGAAAATCCGACTGCCACCTAAAGTAGATGGCGAAGTCAGAGGGGCTGGGAGAGAGGACTGGGGCGGGAGCAAGGGGCAGTGGAGGAGTACGAGAAAGGAGGAGAGGGAAGGTCGCGAGCGGGCGAGCAGCGGGCGGAGGGGGTGCGGACGGCGACCCCGGGCTCGGGCGCCTGCAGGTGCGAACCCGCTTCCGGGACCCCCGTCGCCGCGGCGGGCCTGGGGCGGCGCCCGCGGGGCAGAGCCGGCCGGCGCCCACGCCGCCTGCCCCGTCGGCGCCCCGGCTGGCCGGCTGCGGGGCGCTCGGGCGGCAGACGCGACGGGCGCGGGCTGAGGGGCAGCGCCTGCCGCGCGTCCCCCACCTGGCGTCTTACTCCCCGCTGGGGGAAAGCGAAGAAAAGGACGCGAGTTTCCCCTCTTCCTGTCTGATCCCGCTCAGGACACGCCTCACGGCGCCGAAACCAGCTCTGCAGATGCGTTTGCTGTGGAAAAGCGGCTTTCCCCGCGCGATCTGGGGCGGGGGCGCGGGCCGCGGCGTCGGGGCCTGCCCGCCAGCGAGGACGGCCGCCGCGGCCCCGCCCGCCCGCCCGGGGGCCGCTGGGCGCGACTCGCGCCTCCGCGCCGAGCCACCACGCGGCTTTTTCGCGGAATTTTGACGTCACCCGCACGTGGGGGAGGGCGGCAGAGGGAGGAAGCGGCGGGGGAGGGGCCGGCGGCGGCGTGTCCGGCCGGCGCGGGGGGCGCCGCGCCTGTGTCGCCGCGCTCGCGGCCTGCGACCCTCCCCCCGGCCGGCCGCCCGCCGTCTTCCGCCCCCGGGAGTTGTGCTTGGTGTTCTTTTTTCTCTGAAATCGCGAGCGGCTCTCGGCTCCGGAAAAAGCTCATTTCTCTGGGTTTGGTCCAGTTCCGCTCGATGCTGAGCTGCGACCGAGTGTCGCGATTGCTGGTCGCGACGCGCCACCTGGCTTTCCGTCGTCGCTGCTGGGAGACGCCAGGGTGTTGCTCCGTTCCTCCGGGACCGAGTTCTGCGGTTGCGTTTCCACCCTGAGATTTTCACGCGCGACGTATTCCTCCCCGCTCCTCCACCCACTCACCCCCTAAATGCCGCCGGCGCGTTAGCGCCCATTATCACTTGCAAGGCCCCGGGGGTGCGTCCTGAGCAGTGCAGGGTGAATTTTGCTGCATTTTGAGCAAAGTGATCTAGAAATACCCTTTTCAAAAGAGTTCTGCAAATAGATGGGCAGAAGTGTAGGGTGATTCCCCTCCCACTCGCCAGATACCCACGTGGCATCCATACCCATGGAGAACCTTCCAGACGACGAGGGCTGAAAACTGCAGCTGCAGAGTGAGCCCACGCACCTTCATTTCCCCTAACATTTGGGCAGTCTTTTTAATCTTTCAATCTAGGGGGTGATAGCTGAAATGTGTCATTATCTTCTAAACCCACGGTGACAGTTCTGAGTTTATGCTGAAATTTACGAGGCGCTTCAGTGGGGGTGACTGGGAGAGAAACAGTGACTGGCTTTTACCTCATTGAGGTGAAGGGATGTTGCAGGAATCATGCAGAAAG